AATGACATCTCTCCTCCTTTTGTTGCTTTAGAAAAGGATCCCTTTGACAGTCACTACGTATTAATTCATAGTTGCTTACCGCTTGCCTTTTTAAAAAAGTCCACCACCGTTCAGAATTACATAAAGTACGATTGCGTAGATAACGACTTAATAAATAACAATATTAGATCTTTGGATTGGTGTGGCTTCCTCTCCTGTAATGATGCAACCGTTCTTCGTGACGTCATGTCCAATGTTTCCAAGGACATTCTAGAGCTTGTGCCGCGCATATATCTCAAGCCTAATTCTTCAGATTCCCTTGTTCCTCATTTTCTTCAGAACAGACTAAAAAAGTTGAGGCGACAACTGCGTGACCCATCCACTAGTTCCTTATCTGTTCATCTTAGAATCACAGAGATTTTTGCGATGGCCTCAAGGATGCGCCAAGCGCGCGACAGGCAAAGAGAATCACTTGCTCTCAGTGATTCGAACTCCTGGCAAATCCGTCGCTTACATCTTCCGTCATCGGTCCTACTCTAAGAATGGTCACGAACTTCCACCCCTGCTAAATGATAACAAAGTCTTCCTCATCGATGACACTGACAAGGCGGAGTTGTTTAGTGCTTTCTTTGCAAACCACCTTGCTACCGAGTCCGATCCGGTCCCTTTCTTTCGATCACTTTCAGATAGGACACTTAGTACAATTGATGTCTCCTCAGATCTCATTAAGAAACACATAAGCCGTTTGAAATACTCACACTGCTCAGGAACGGACGGGATTCCGAATTCGATTATTAAACAAGCGTCCGACCTTCCTCTATTGCTTAGTCATTTATTCTCGGTTGATATTTCAAAAGAATCCTTTCCAGAAACATGGAAAACATTAATTGTCATTCCCGTCTTCAAGTCAGGATCTCGGTCTGATGTTAATAACTATCGGGGCGTGCACAAACTGCCGTCTCTAGCAAAGCTTCTTGAAAGAATTATTTTCAATGAAATTCTTGACTTCTGTCTAGCTAATCGGCTTCTGAGCTCTAGTCGGCATGGATTTTTACCTAAAAGATCCTGTGAAACTTGCCACTTGGTATTTCTTAATCTAATCACTTCTTCCCGTAATGAGCTGCAGTCAGTGGTAGTTATCTACTTTGATGTTAGCACGGCCGTTGACAAGGTGCCCTATAGATGTCTTTTAGTAAAATTGGAAGCTCTCGGCATTCGGCCGCCCGTACTCGACTTCATCAGGTCCTATCTATCCAACCGATATCAGAAAGTCGTGCTCGGTAATAGCTGCTCGATAACTCACTCGATCACGAGTGACGTACTTCTAGGCACGGTTCTATGTCCGCTACCCTTCCTTCTTTCCATCAATGATATTTCGACTGAACTCAGAAATTTGTAAACTTTTATTTGTGTCGATGACCTCAAGTGTGCTTACTCACGATAAGCCTTCGTGCAGTACATTGCAACGGGGTTATGATTGTAAGAATTCCACTGCCGGAGCAAGTACGTCACATGAAAATCCATGCCCTAAACTCCCTTCGCCGGCCGAAAATCACTCAAATGTCGAATTCCCTACAGCCGTCGGGAATACTACAGTAGCATTATATAGTCCTAGCGCGGACGGGACAATAATGAGCTCTTCCATAAATCGTATACAAAATATAGTCGTAAGGGGAGTCCCAGAGTCCACATCCTGCATTCCGAAGGAACGAGTGACGCACGACCTACACCTTCTCCATCAGTACGCCAGTGCCGTCCTGAAAGATGGGGAAATATTCACCGTTAAAAAAGCTTTCCGACTAGGCAAAGCCGACCCAAATCGTGACCTTAAAACATCCCCAAGACCCCTGAAAGTTATTTTGGAAAACGAAGCCCAAGCAGCGCTTTTGTTAGAAAGTAGAACGACCTTACGCAATTCGCACAAGGAAGTGTTTTTTCAACCAGACTACGAACCGAGGGAAAGACTGAAGATGAGAGAACTGAGAACAGAATTGAAGGAGGGAATTGGCAGAGGAGAGAAGGGGCTGAAGACCAAAAATGGACAAATAGTCCAAACAAAGGGGTCTTTTCTGTGGTCAGAACCCGTCACAATGAAGGCGGGGCCTCTTCAACGAATCGGGCATTAAAGGTTATATCCGCAAATGTGCAAAGCCTCTTCGACAAACTAGACGAACTAAGAGACTTAGTTGATGAAATTAAGCCAGACATTATGGCATTCACAGAAACGTGGCTCACTGAAGATATCGCAGATTCAGAGATAGCACTTAGAGGATATCAGCAATTCAGGAGAGATAGACTAAACCGAGGAGGAGGAGTCATAATTTATGTCACTTGCAAGCTGAGCTCTATGGCTGATGTACATAGACCGGTACGGGATGTGGAACTGCTAAGCGTTACCATATCTACTAAGAATGTCCGATCACTGACGCTTTCGGTGGTGTACCGTTCACCTAACCAAACTTCTGACCAAGATCCCATGCTCATATCCGAACTGTACAAAGCCAGCGAGAAGAAAGATGTCCTTATCGTTGGGGATTTTAACGCTCCTGGCATTGATTGGCTAACGTGGACTGCACAAGGGCCGCAAGACAGATTTAATCACAAACTACTACAATGGACAACGGACAAACTTCTTTACCAGAATGTTACCTTTGGAACACGGGTCAGGGATGGACAGCAGTCGAACTGCCTTGATCTTATTTTTACCCGAGAGGAGGAAAATGTGTTAGACCTGCAGGACCGACAGCCATTTGGGTCGAGAGACCACATCACGCTCTACTTTGAGTACTCACTGTTTTCCAAACCCGCTCAACCCGATAGGTGGGAGAGAAGCCTCTGGAAAGGAGACTATTCTCTCATGAGGAGGGAGGCGGTAGCTGTATCATGGGAAACTGAACTGCATGGTCGAGCAAACGACAACTGGAATACTTTCAGTTCATTACTGAAAGAGATTGTTTATTCCAATTGTCCTCTCAGAAGAAAGACAATCACAAACCGCCCAAGGTGGATAAACCCGGACTTAAAGGCCTCTTTCAGAAAAAGGAATCGTCTGTGGAGGCGGTACAGACAAATTGGCTACAAAGGACACTTACAGGAATATACGCAGCAACGAAACATTTGTAAAAGTGAGGCCTCAAAGCTGCGAAAGAAGTCTGAACTGAACATACTCCGGAATTCGTTGGAGCATCCAAAAATTCTATATGGTTATATACGAAGTACTAAAAGGACTAAGGTGCTGGTCCCTGCACTTAGGTCTGCAGATGGGAAAGTTGAGACTGATGACCAGGTTAAAGCGTCCCTCCTTTCCGACTTCTTTCCGTCCGTCTTCACCAGAGAACCTAGTTCTATATTTGCCCATCCATTCGTTCGCCAACCAACCTCTCCTCATAGTAGCCTTCGCCCTCTTATCCCCTCCATACCCTCCTTAATCGACGAACCACTCTTTTCATCGACCATAGTAAGGGCCGAGCTACTCCGGCTGAAACCTGCAAATCGCCTGGACCAGATAGAATTCCTGCACTAGCACTTGGTGTACTTGCTAATGAACTGTGCATAACTTATCCGCAATATTTCAAAAGTCATTTGAAGACGGCGGGCTCCCGGAAGAATGGAAATGTGCACTCATTACTCCGATCCATAAAGGAGGCTCAAGACTTGACTGCGGAAATTATCGTCCCGTCAGTCTTACTTGCATCGCGTGTAAAATAATGGAACGGATTATCAAAAGGCACTGGATGAAATACCTGGAACAGAACAAAATATTGTGTGATGCCCAACATGGCTTTCGTCCACGGCGCTCCTGCCTAACGAGTGTTCTTTACTCGCACGAGAAATGGACACGAGTTACCGATAAGGGTTTTCCAGTAGATGTCATATTTTTTGACTTCAAGAACGGCTTTGACAGTGTCCCACACAGGCTTCTTTTACAGAAGATCTGGGATGTTGGGATTCAAGGACGAACGTTTAAGTGGATCAGGAGTTTTCTGTCCTAAAGACTACAAAGAGTCGTCGTTAGTAATTCTGCCTCGGAATGGGTAAAGATGGAAAGTGGTGTCCCACAGGGTTCTGTCTTAGGCCCAGTACTCTTCCTGATTTATGTTAATGACTGCATCAGCGAAGTGAATTGCGAGGTTCTCATGTTCGCGGGTGAGATAAAAATATAGAATGAAGTCAAGTGCGATGATGACGCAAAGAAGTTGCAGTCGAACATCAACAAACTGTGTGCTTGATCGAACAGATGGCTTTTGAAGTTTAAGGTGACCAAATGCGTGATCTTGCACCTGAACACCGGCCGCAATGCCTCTCCCAAACACCAGTACTATATTGACGCGACGAGGTTAGAAACTATGGAAAGACACAGAGATCTGGGTGCATGGACGAACACAAATCTATCGCCATCAGAACACTGCAGAAAGATGGCCCAGAAGACAACTAGTACTCTACACTGGATCAGACGTGCATTTAAAATATTTCCTCCCGAACTCTTCGAAGGACTCTTTGGTGTCTTTGTAAGACCTCATCTAGATTATGGAATCCCAGCAGCTTCACCATGGATGAGGAAAGATATCAACTTACTCGAACAGGTGCAACGCAGAGCGACAAAAATGGTCGACGGTCTAAAGCATTTGTCTTATCAGGAGAGGCTGAATTTGCTTGGCCTATTCCCTCTCTCTTATAGACAAATAAACTGCAGTCTACTCTGGACGTTCCGGATTGTTCGCGGCCAGGGTTGCTCATTAAGAGCAGAGGACTTCTTTGAGTTCGCCCGTACAAACCAACTACGCGGCCATGCATACAAAGTCGGGAATGAGCGCACGCGTTTAGACCGACGAAAATTTTCATTCAGCCAGCGGGTTGTCAGGCCGTGGAACTCGCTTTCAAGCGAGATGGTGACGGCTGACACAGTTTGTGTGTTTAAAAGAAAACTTGCTCGTCTAGTTTTCGACAGAAATCGGCTTGTACAGCATGACTATGCACATCCAGTTTTGTAAAATCTGTCATATACAATCTTCCGCACTAATTTACAGTGACCATATGCGAGTGAGGTGGGTGCAGGTTGGTGCTCCTGGCACTGGTTCGCCGGTCTCTGTGCGATGGATTCGCAAGTGACCGACCAGGCCGATGTGTGAAATGAAGGTGCGGTCGCAGTGAGGGCGGGTGTAGTCCTGGTCCTCGTCACTGGAGTCGGGGGAGGTGGTGGTGGTGTCTGTTTTTGCGCGCGTGACAGTCGCCTGAGCGGCCGCCGTTGAAGCAGTGGAGGAGGAGTAGGTGGAGGAGGAGGAAGAGGATGAGGAGGATGGAAGTGGTGGGTCAGAAGAATTGTCAGGGCTAGTTGGCGGCGGAGAGGAGGAGGAAGAGGCAGGCGGGGGACGATCGTTGGTGACGTTCGAGATGCACAGTTAATCCGAAGATGTCCAACAAGTCCGATTCGAGCCCGGAATGTCCGTTGACATCGAGGACACGTTGGAAGCGGTTGTGTGGCGGCGTTGCGTACTGGGCGAAGTTGTGATTTACAGGCTTCGCGTTTCGCTTTGGCGGGAGCGATGCGGTTGGCTTCGTATGTCGCAGCGCCTGTCTTCACTGTCCTCCTCCAGGTCGGTCGATCGAGTGCGAGCTCCTCCCAGTTGGTCGGGTTGATTTGCAGGCGTTTCGGGGAGGACTTCAGGGTATCCTTATAACGGTGGATCTGGCCTCCTTGACAGCGAGAACCCGCCGCGACGTCTCCGTAGAAGAGTCATTTGGGTAGTCGCTCGTCGTACATGCGCACCAGGTGGCCGCTCCATCGCAGCTGGATTTGCCTCAGTATGGTGTAGATGCTGAGGATTCCCGTCCATTCCAGCACATCAGTGTCGGGGATTCTATCCTGCCATTTCAGCCTCAGGATGCGACGGAGACAAATGAGGTGGAAGTGGTTCAGACGGCGTGCCTGACTCGTGTACACCGTCCAAGTCTCCGCTCCATACAGTAGTGTCGGCAGGATGACGGCCTTGTACATCTTCAGCTTCGTGCTCAGCTGAAGACCGTGGCGATTCCAAACTGTGCTTTGGAGGCGACCGAAGGGTTGACTGGCTTTCGAGATCCTGTTGGCGACTTCGTCGTCGATCTTGGTGTTGCGGGAGAGAGTACTGCCCAGGTACAGGAAGTTCTCCACCACTTGCAGTCGGGTTCCGTTCACGCTGATTTGCGGCGGCGCGTTGGGAGCTGTGGCTGAGTTGGGTGGCGGTTGGTGCATCACCACCGTCTTCTGCGTGTTAATGAGCAGACCGAAGTTCTCGCAGGCGGCGGAGAATAGGTCCATGCTCCGTTGCATCTCCTCTTCCGAGGTGGTGTTCAGGGCGCAGTCGTCGGCGAAGAGGAGTTCGTGAACGGTGGTTGTGGATACGCGCGATTGGAATTGCATCCGCCGTTGATTCAGGAGGTGACCGTCCGTCCTGTAGGCGATGCGGATCCCGGGGCGTTGGTCGCGGTAGGCGTCCATCAGCATGGCAGAGAACATAAGACTGAAGAGGGTAGGCGCCAGCACGCATCTCTGCTTCACTCCGTTGGTCACTGCGAATGACTCTGAGACAGCTCCGTTGTCCGTGACTCGCGCCATCATACCGTCGTGCAGCTGACGCACCATCTGAATGAATCGCTCCGGACAGCCGAATTGCTGCATGATCTTCCACAGTCCTTCACGATTCACCGTGTCGAAGGCTATCGTCAGGTCCACGAAGGTAGAATACAGGTGGGTCCGCATCTCCTGACACTTCTCCTGAAGTTGACGGGCGACGAAGATCATATCCGTGGTCCCACGATGACGACGGAAGCCGCATTGGCTTTCCGGCAGAAGGCCCTGTTCCAGATGGTTATTGAGGCGGTTGAGCAGGATGCGAGCGAAGATATTCCCGGCAATGTTCAGCAAGGAGATGCCGCGGTGATTGTCGCAGCTTGTAGAGATGCACGATGGTTGCGTCTTTGAAATCTTGTGGGACTTCGCCTTGACGCCACATCTCCTGGAAGAGCGCAGTCAGGTGATCCATTAGTTGGGGACACCCGTGCTTGTAGACCTCAGCAGGGATTGCGTCCGATCCGGGTGCTTTCCCGCTGAAGAGCTGCTGAACGGTCCTGATGGTTTCCTGGAGAGATGGCGGGAGGTCGAGGTCGACGTTGGTCTCCACTTGCGGCAAACGCTTGATGGCGGCGTCAGAGATGGCGGAAGGGCGGTTGAGGACGCCTCAGAAATGCACGGCCCATCGCTGTAGAATTTGTGTCTTCTCAGTCAGGAGAGTGCGGAGAAGCAGCAGACCGTTGTCGTTTGAGCCGCGGAGACCGTGGGGACCCAGCACTCCTCTCCAGACAGTATGGTCTGTGCCGACGCGAGCGTTGAAGTCGCCAAGGACAATCAACTTGTCCGCCTTCGACACAGTCGCCAAGAGGGCGTGCAAGTCCTCGTAGAATTTGTCTCTGACAATGTCGGGGTTGATCATCGGCGGAGCGTAGGCGCTGATGATGTTGGCGAATTTCTCCCACCTCGGAGAAGCAGACGGAGGCTCATTAGGCGATCGTTGATGCCCTGCGGCAGACTGGGCAGTCGTCCCACGATGTCGTTCCGGGTGGCGAAGGCGACGCCCGCGTCTCGTCGCTCTGCCTTGGGTCGACCACTCCAGAAGAAGGTGTAGCCGGCACCCACCTCCTCCAGTTGGCCTTGTTCGGAGAATCGGGTCTCGCTGAGTGCGGCGATGTCCACCTTGTAGCGCGCCAGTTCTCGTGCCACTAGCGCCGTCCTCCGTTCCGGTCGGTTGCTTCTCGGATTGTCTAAAAGGGAACGAACATTCCAGGCTGTCAGAGTGAGTGGGCTCATCCTGCCAGTCTGGCGACTGCGGCGGCGAAAAGTAGGAGGAGGAGAATAAAAAGAATAGGCTGTAAGAGGAAGAGAGTGACTGTTGTTGTTTCTGTTTTGGTTGTTTCGACCGTGTGTTTTTTGTCTGCGGCCACGGCCAGCCTACAGACCGCGTTGTTCCCAGCGATCTTAAGGGCACCTTTTTTAGCCCCCTTCCCCTCGCGGGGCAGGCAACGCATCCCTGAATAGGGCTGCCCGGTTATCCCAGACGGCTGCCGGACTCCACTATGGGCCACGACTTTTTGCTAGTGAGAGAACGACCCGAATTAGCCTGGGACCTTGGTGGTGATGGTGATGTGATGGAGTGAAGTAGCAGAGAGCATACACACAACCAAACGCTATGGGACTTACAGCTAGCTAGAGTGGACAAGCAGACACAGTCATCAGTCAGAGACAGAAGTAAGAGGGCACCATTCAAGTGTCAAGCACCGCAACGCCTAGCTATTAGCAGAGAGAGGCATAGGTTGACAGGCAGACAGTCGCAGCAGACATCGAGAATTTCATCTAGCTATTAACAGACAGACTAACATATAGAGGGCAGGCAGCAAGAGCAGCACACGTCACGGAACTTCAACAGACAAAAGGATGAAACAAAGTAAATTCACTTACCTGAAGAAGAACTTACCTGGTGGCCTCCTGCAATGGACCAGGTAGGGCCTCGTCTCGACGATGTCGACACGAAAATCCATCCGGCCGGCGCAGACCACAGTACCGCGCGTGCAGGTGCACGCACGGATACCCTCACCTGGTTTAGCCCGCCTACGTGGAGCCACAGGTGAGAGTTGGGCGCCAGCAGGTGGACGCTAGGCGTAGTCTCACCTGCAAGCAAGTGAGCAACCACTACGACCATCACGTGGACCCACCGCTGACACCCCTACCCCCCGAATTGCGACTCAATCACATTTCAAATGCCTGCAATTTTATTTTATTTTTGCATATGAATCTGCGAAAGCATTGTACATAAATAGGGTCATCAAGGGCTCTGCCTCTAACCATTCAATACATAAATACATATAAATACAAATACATAATACATATATCCTAAGGACACCGCAACTGTTTTTGTTGAAGAAGTTAATGCCGATTTACTACGTTTAAGCAGATGGGGTTCAACATGGCAGATGGAGTTTTCATCATCCAAGTGTAGTCTCCTGTCTTTTGGTCCCGCTAAACTTCCTGCTCCCATAACTTTTCACAATAACCAACTCTCAGAAAGCCTCGCCATAAAGGACCTAGGTTTAAGTTATACAAAGAAGCTTGCTTTATTACCTCATGCAGATAGAATCTTTGCCAAAGGCCCGCAGATATTTGGACTCATATCGCATAATTTTTTCCTTCCGGAAGTGAAACTAAAACTTTATCAAATGTTTGTTCTCCCAGTCCTCGAATACTGCTGTCCTTTTTTGGTTTAATGAACGCCTGGGACCGCTATAAGATCAAAAATCTTCAGAGGGTTTTCACCCGGAAACTGTTCTCTCAAGCTTCGTCCGGTATTTCTTATACTCAGAAATGTCAGCTGGCGAACATTAAGTTTTGTAGGTTAGAAGACTAGAAGCTGGCCTTTGCTTCCTTTTTCGCATCAACTCTAGCTTCAGTCTTCCGCACATTGACACTCTCACTCCGAGAGATCCGTCTTATGCCACGCGCAACTCCTCAATGGTGATTCCGCCGCCGCCTCTTCGCACTATCTCTAAGCGCTCCCTCTTCTATGCTTTCAGGTATGCATTCCAAAACCTACTCAGTGACACGCAAGAACCCGGTGAGGTCGTCGAAATTCAAAAGATCTTCCGTTTGGGACCTTTAGTAAGAAACAACGCAGACAAAGTGCGGCCGAGACCACTGAAAGTCGTGTTGGGAAACGAACAGTAAGCAAATCTCCTCTTATCGCGAAAGTCCAGGCTTCGAAACAAACATCGCGGAGTGTATTTTCAGCCGGACTATCACTAGATCGAACGAATAAAAATGAGGACGCTGGTAGCAGTACTGAGAAAACGTCAGAGCGAGGGCGAAGTGAATCTGAAAATAGTAAACAACCAAATTGTAAAAAAAGAGCGTTCCTTCTCGTGGAATCATCCGGTGACGTTGACGGTAAAAGCACCGGTGCTCGGTTCCGACAAACTTCAGTAAATTCACAATCAACTAGTGGACTTGGTACGCCATGTGAAATATGCAATAATAACTATCAGTCAAAAAACCTACAAACAATTTCCAGTGATCTAAACAGCCGAATAACATAAAATTGTTGTACACAAACGTGCAGAGTTTATTCAACAAATTGGATAAAATAAAACTCACAGTGGCCCATTTCTAAACCTACTTGACAGTTTTAACAGAAACATGGTTAAATGCACAGATAGAGGACGCGGAAGTTATACTAGATGGTTTCCAGATTCTCCGAATGGACCGAAACGAACGAAGGGGTGAGGGGATTGCGATATTTCTACGAGATAACATCGACTACGTCAGGGTTGAGTCTTCCCCATTTCGGCACACTGATTGTGAAATACTCAGTTGTTACTTGAAGGTGCCAAGCCATCCAAGTCTCCATATGGCCCTGGCTTACAGACCGCCAAGCCAGTGGATGGATGACGACGATGCGCTTATCACCGAGATAAAAGAAATTTGTCGAACCAAACACAGAATGCTACTTGGTGACTTCAACTGTCCAGACATAGAGTGGGATTTGATGTATTGCACGCGATCAGAAAACTCCATCGAAGAGAAATTTATTCAACTGATCACAAATGATTTCCTTACCCAAAATGTTAAAGTGGACACTCGATTCAGACATGGACAGCGGTCCAGTTTTTTGGATCTCATCATCACTAGAGATGATAGTTGCATTCTCGGATTGGAATCGCACACACCCCTTGGCCGAAGTGACCACTGCGTTCTTGTTTGGGAGTATAGTCATTTTTCTGTACCCGAAATTCGAGCTGCTGAGGAAAGAAATGTATGGAAAGGAGGTTATCCCCGAATGAAAAATCTACTACAGCAGGTGGACTGGAATGCAGCACGAGGAACTGACACGGAAAGTGATTGGCTCTTCTTCAAGAACATAATGCGGCACTTGGTAGAGAGCAGTTGCCCACTTAAGAGGAAGCTGCGCACTTCCCGACCAGAGTGGGTGATGTCAGAAATAAAGAAGAACCTTTAATTGAAAAGGAGACTTTGGAAAAAGTACGCCAGATATTAACAACCAGAGTATTTTACTGACTGCAAAAAAACAGAGGAATATAGGCCGGAATCTTTTATGGAGGGAACAGGTACAATTTGAGTCAAAACTTCTAAAACATCCCGCAAAATTCAAAAAATTCTTCGGATACGTGAATAAGGCAAAACGCAACCGGAACTGCATTCCCTGCCTAAAAGATCGCCAGGGAAATTACGTTGTCTGACAACTCAGATAAGGCGAATCTGTTGTCCGACTTCTTCACGTCTGTGTATACGGAGGAGTCGGCTTTTGATGAAAGAGTTTACCCTCCAATTGTCAAATCAAACAATACAGTTGGCACGGTGGACTTCACAGCAGACACGGTAAGGAAAACGGAGCTGATGCGGCACCTTGAAGAAAACAACTTGCTCAGTTTACATCAGCATGGATTTCGATGGGGTCGATCCTGTCTCATCAACCTCCTAGTATCCATGGAGAGCTGGACGAAATCAATCGACATGGGCTTATCAGTCGACGTCATGTACATTGACTTCAAAAGGCTTTTGAGTGCATTCCACACAGGCGACTTATATGTAACCTACGCTAAGTGGGTGTGAATGGAAATTTTTTGAAATGGCTGGCCGATTTCAGCGTGTGTGTATCGGAAACGTTAAATCGGAATGGGCATCCGTGCACAGTGGCGTTGCGCAGGGAAGCGTTCTGGATCCAATTCTATTCTTAATATATGTGAACGACTGCTTGAACTGTCTTAACTGCGAGCGCGTAATGTTTGCCGAGGATCTAAAATTTTGGAAGTCAATAGAGAAGCCGGAACACTCTGTACAGTTACAAGACAGTTCGAATGGCTTGCAAAAATGGGTGTGATGAGTGGTGTCTTAGCCTCAATCGTAATAAATGCCAACTTATCCGATTACGATCGACCAACAGGAGGTCGTTGAGAAGCTAAAAATATTACCTCTCTCTTATAGACAGTACAGAGGGGATATGATCATGACCATCAGGATCGTCCGAGGGTTAGACAGTGCCCTTCAGTTTGACGATTTCTTCGAACTGGCGCGGAAGACAAATATTCGGGGACACCAATACAAATTGAAGACGAAATATGCCAAACTCGATTTGCGGGCCAAATTCTTCTCCCACTGGCTGGTCGAGGGATGGAACAAATTGCCGAACTCCGTTGTCTTGGCGGAAAACGTCGAGACTTTCAAAAGAAGACTACATAAACTTATGCTGATGGTCAAACATTTACATAATATCAATGACTGGCATAACTGATACGTAAATAGCTGCACGTTTTTTCAAAGTTCTATCTGCAAATAGGGTTTTCCAAGGCTCTGCCTCTATCCCTCATAAATACTGAATTATACTGAATTCCTTTGGAATAATCGTTCGCCAGAGATTCGGTCATCGCCCAAGTTATCAGTATTCAATTCGAAATTACGCACACATATTACACCGAAAGCATAAAGGCGCTGTTAACGGTCCCATTCCCGCACACACAGCCCTTTGACTTCAAAAAGGGTTCTCCTGAGATTTATTGGTAGATCAAGTGGTAACTCTCAATAACAACATTAGAAACCCCTGTTTTGAATTGGTTTCTAAACCCAGTGCTATCAGTTATCCCCCATAGCGGCGATTTTTACAGTTCTTGACGTCATTTCCTGCATTCGACTTCATTCGATCTGTCAACGCTCACGGCGGAACCCTCAGTATTCGCCGTCTACTAGTAGTTGGTCGTACCTCCCTCCCCCTCTCCTCGGCTGGGCTGAGAGCGTACTGTGGCCAA